CGCCGGGGCAGCTATGGCGCTGCAGGTCCCGGTCCCGATCCATATCCTTATCCCAGTCCTGGTCCCGGTCCCAATTCAGATCCCTATCTCGGTCCCCATCCCGCTCCCTCCCGGTGTCAGCGGTCGCTGTTGGGAATTGTCGCCTCCGAGTGCCCCGGGATGGGCGGGGGTAGGTGGGGAGGGAGGAGCAGCTGCCGCCGCACTTTGCTGAGGAAAAAAGTTAGATCCTGTGCAGCAATCACTGAGGTTTTACCTCTGCACGAGGTCCATTAAGTTCCTTTGTGTGCTCGAAGGGGCACAGAGACCTTAGGAGAGATGTGTATGACTGCTGTTTTCCTTCTGTTTTATCCAGTGATTCTGAGGGAATCACGTTCGAACACAGACAGACCCTCATCCCCTCCCCTTCGCGGTTCCCAAGGCAATGCCCAAGGTGAAGAGGAGCAGGAAGCCTCCCCCGGATGGGTGGGAGCTGATTGAGCCCACACTGGACGAGCTGGATCAGAAGATGAGGGAAGGTGAGTGTGTGTGCTGAGGGATGTGACCCAAACAGGCTCCTCCTGCACACACAGATTGGCCTTTTTTGTGTCTGCCCCACATAGTGCTGCAGACTGAGCCTGGGGCAGTGCTGCTCCCTGGTCTGGTGTGTGCACAGAGCTTTGGGTGCAGCTGTTGGACAGTATCAATCTCTCAGGCTGAAAAAGACCTCTAGGACCATCAAGTCCAACCTATGACCTAAACACACCATGTCAAACAGACCATGGCATTAAGTGTCATGTTCAGTCTCTCCTTAAACATGTGTAGGGATGGTGACTCCACCACCTCCCTGGGCAGCACATTGCAGTGTCTAATCACCCTTTCTGGGAAGAAATTCTTCCTAATGTCTAACCTAAACCTCCCCTGGTGCAGCTTGAGACTATGTCCTCTTGTCCTCTCAGAAGAGACTGACCTACACCTGACTACAGCCTCCTTTCAGGTAGTTGTAGTGAGTAATAAGGTCATCCCTGAGCCTTCTCTTCTCCAGGTTAAACAACCCCAGTTCCCTCAGCCTCTCCTCACAGGATTTGTGCTCCAGTCCCTTCACCAGCTTTGTTGCCTTTCTCTGGACACACTCCAGCACTTCAATGTCCTTCTTGAAGTGAGGGGCCCAGAACTGCACACAGCACTCAAGGTGTGACCTCACCAGTGCCCAGCACAGAGGGACAATCGCTTCCCTAGTCCTGGTGGTCACACTATTGGTGATACAGTCCAGGATGCCATTGGCCTTCTTGGCCACCTGAGCACACCTGACCTCATGTCCAGCTGCTGTTGACCAGCCCCCCCCAGAGCCTTCTCTGCTCATGAAGGGTTTAAGGTTGAAGCTCACTGGTGTGTGGAGGGACTGGTAGTCTGTGATTTGCTCTGGTGTGATGAGCCATGAAATAACCATCCCAGTGTGGGTCATGTCATCCCACTCTCATTGACTTTATCTCCTAAGGGAACTGTTCCAGCTCAGGTCCTTTTCCTTTGAGTCTTAATCTCAGCCTTATCTCTGTCACGTATTGAAGTCAGAAACGTTTTTAGTACAGTTTTTTGCCAAGTGACTGATGGAGTGAGTTGCAGCTGAAACCTGGTGTTTGTGTTCCCTCCCAGCTGAGACGGAGCCGCATGAAGGGAAGAGGAAGGTGGAATCCCTGTGGCCTATCTTCAGGATTCACCACCAGAAAACACGTTACATCTTTGATCTCTTCTACAAAAGGAAAGCAATCAGCAGAGGTGAGAGGGAATGTGCTTTCCCTTGGACAGGGGAAGGCTGAACAGAGTGACATGTTCACCTGAACTGGGAGTTGGTGTAGGATCAGGAATCTGGGAGGGAAGGCTGAAAACTGCCAGGCTGTAACTGCTGGTTACTACAGCTAGTAACTCCTCATCCTGAGTCTTCTGCTCCTCCCCAGAGCTCTATGAGTACTGCATCAAGGAGGGATATGCTGACAAGAACCTGATTGCTAAGTGGAAGAAGCAGGGATACGAGAACCTGTGCTGCCTGCGCTGCATCCAGACACGGGACACCAACTTCGGCACCAACTGCATCTGCAGGGTCCCCAAGAGTAAGCTGGAAGTGGTAAGTTTTCAGCTTGCTCCTCTGCTTGTCTGGAGCTTTGTCACCTGGTGTGACTTCTCCCAGGTCAGGGACAGCAGAGCAGGTAGTACTGTTCTTCCTGGAAATTTCCTCTAGTTCTAACGATTTCTACCTTTGGTGTCTAGTTGGTTCTGAAGTTACTGTCAGCTTTGGCACTCATTTAAGGTTGTTCAAGTGTGGGAGATAACAGAAAATTAGATGGTAGAAACCCTCCCCACACAAGAGCTATTCTCTGCCTCGAGGCCTGAGCCTGCTGCTCTGTAGCTTGGCTCAAACACTCTCCTCGTGCTTGTTTTTCAGGGCAGAATCATTGAGTGCACTCACTGTGGATGCAGAGGCTGTTCTGGGTGAAGCCTTTAGCCATCAAACTGCTTTCTGAACTCTGAGGGATGTCTTCCTCCTCCTCCATGGACTGTGAGTGCCATTACAGCCACTTGTGTGATGGGGTATGTCTGTACAGCAATTAAAGCAGCAGCATAATCACGTGGATCCTGCGTTAATAGGGTTGCTTGGGGTAGGGGTTTGTGTAGCAATTTATTTTAAAATAAAGCCTGTCCTCTTAAGAGAGTTTTGTGATCTCCTGGTGAAACATTCCTGTGCCACCCTGCTGCTGTTGGATGTGTCCTGGGTGGTCTGCAGGTTGCTCTGCACACTGTGGGTTTTTAACCAGCTCTCACCTCTCTTTCTCAACTAAATTTAAAAGTCTGTGTGGAAAGGAAATCATAGTTCCCAAATGTACAGTCTGATTCAAGCTCTTCCCTGATCTTGTGCAGAAGGATGCTAAATTTTACTGGAATTCTCTGCTCAGGTATGTACCCTGGAATTGATGCATAGATCCATTCAGGAA